TTTATCTCTAGCACATATTCCTAGTTCTGATAAAGATGTATATGTGTTTAGAAATCTATTAAAAAGTAAAGACGGATGTAGGTTACGACAAACCAATGAGCCTAAGAGTTACTCCAGGCTTAGAGCGTTGATCTTTAGCACGTATTGATGTATCGACGTTTGCTGCACACAGCTTGAGGACTGGCGGTGCCTTTGACGCTGACAAAGCGGGAGTGCCCGACAGGCTTTTCAAACGTCATTGGAGATGGAAGACATAAACGGCGAAAGATATGTATATAAATATACGAGACAGTTTTGAAAATCTTTAATGGGTTTCCAAATGTCTTGGTATTTAATATCATCCCGTTCTTTATAATTTCATCGGTCCAGGTCACAGCGTCAAGCAACGTTACCAAAATAGTGTATGTGTCGAGTTTAGTGTGTTGTGTTAAAGGATAACTGGCTGAACGGCGGGATCACCCCTACCCCCCTCTAGCGACGGCCATGGGATAGGGCAGTTGGTTTGAGAGCTTTGGTTTGTTTCAAGAGATTGAGCTCTGGATTTTGAGTGGTGTATCAAATAGGCTTTCACAAGATCTGTGCGATTTGTTGTGCTTGGTTCAGGAGAATGGACGCTACTAATGCCCAAGCCTAGTTACGTCGCGTCCATTTTCCTGAGCCGGTCTTAAACGTTAGCTTAAGAATTGCCAAGCACATATTAGCACATGTAGTGTGCAGGTGTGGCATACAAAGTGTGGACCTCTACACAAAAGAAGCCCACATAATGTAGGGTGCGATGGCGTAGTGTGGACTCGCACACGTCAACACAATGTTTCCCCTCTCTGAAAAACCATTTCAGAGGCAATTTGGGGTCAAGGTTATCGTGGCAAAATGAAGAGAAATAGTCCAGGGAATCACCATCAAAAATCCAGCTCGAAGGAGTTATGTTAGTTAGAGAAAAAGGAGAATTTTCCTCAAGTTTCCCTAACCACAGGAGAACAAAGGAAAGTCCACACTTTGTATGTAAAACGGGCATGTGTGGGTGCGCTAGTACATGGTGCCTGGTAGGGTACTGGAACAATGGAAGGCAACCCAAAAGGCCAGTTTTGATCCTTGTGGGGTAGTAAAGTGGTACCCCACAATAATTTCACGAAATAGATGTTTCAAATTTACTCAAAAAGGAGGAATTTTCAAGTGCCATTCAACCCAGGAAACTGAATTTGGTTTGAAATGGCTGTGATTTGAATTTTTTTCTGTGTTGTTTGGGAGTTTTTTACACGAGAACAAAGGAAATACCCCACAAGTATACATATGTAAGGGTGTGTGGGGGTAGGTTAGTCTGGCACAATTTCACCTTTGCGACAAAAATAACAAAAGGTCACATCAATAGGAATAAGCATAATAATTATGATCATAAACATATGAATAGGAATGAGGGATAGGATAAAATGTATGGCATAAGATGACCTAGGGATGCATAGGAACAGCATAGGGTCGAAAAGTGTGGCACAACATAACCTTATGTATGGGATAAAATATGCATAAGGCATATCATGGGGTAAAACCTTTCGGCACAGTTTGAGCTTTCTTATGAAATAGGATGATAAAAAATATGTGATGAGTCATAGGCAGTATGATGTCATGGAAAAATACTGCCTGGCCCACCAGGAGATCCTAACGTGATCAAGGAGCAGGAAACGATCATCCCTAAACAAAGGGCCGTACGTGCCGCCATACACTATACCCTACTCCTCATTCCCATTCATATTTTTATGATCATAGCTATTATGTTTATGCCTATTGATGTCACTTTTGCTATTTTTGTCGCAAAGGTCGAATTGTGCCAGACTGACCCCTCTACTCATATTATTCCCATTCATGAATACCTTTTTATTCAGGGAGTCAAAAGGAGTCAATATTTGATCGATTTCCAATAATTTTGTTCTACCGTTCGTTTTATGGTTTATTCCTTTTGAAAGAAACCATCTTTTTATATGAACTTGGCGCGCGTGGTGCGTCCTGCACACACAGACTCCTGACCAATCAGACTCGATTAAACTGTCTTTTATCCATGTGCCAGCGTGCAATTTACGTAGGGGGCATTATCACTTCTCGGCGGGCATTATCAAAGTTTATGTTCAGACACGGTCACATGACACGTTTCGACCAATACTAGAAAAACCATACCAGATACTACGAATATCCATTTTAGGCAACTCATTGCTACGTGCACCGGAGACCAAATGCTTCGAAATGTCTTCAAAGTTGGTTCCGGTCAAAATGCAGTTTGTTAAACTAACATATAATAATCAACAGTTGGGCTGCTAACTGAATATTGATAGTTAATTGTCTCTAATCGGCTACAAGGAAGAAAAACCATTAATGCCATCTGAACGACTCGTCCTGACCACTGACAAATGTTAAATGAGGCATGAATACATTTATGCTGTCCATAAATAAGATCATATATCGTTGAAAGGAACCGCAGACTCGAATTATCATCGGAGGCAGTTGGGAGGGGGGCCATAATGCGCACATCCCCAGCTCCAGTATCGTCTTTACTTCAGCACCACCTTAATAAATTTTCCACTTTTAAAGTTTGTTTACTTTCTGGTTATATTTTTGTTATAGTTTCTAAGGTTGGAGGTATTCCGGTGACAAGACCTCGCTGGAGTGTCATCTACCGGTTTTTATGCGCACTATCTTCGACAATAAATGAACATTGTGCGCTTCACGAGTTCAGTAGGTGTCTTATGTCCTTCATGAGGCTTGTGTTGCTTCGGCACACAATTAACGTTATATCAAAAAAGCCAAGAAACAATTTAAAAAGAAGTTAAATCTTGAAAATATTATTGAACAAAATTCGCTGGAAAGCAACATACATATAAGGAAACATTTCGGGGAATAAAACCACTTGGTAACCAAACCGTACTGAGCAGGCTGTCATGAAGAGCAAAGATAAAATGGAAATGGAGTTAGCTTGTGTGCAAAACAGTAAGGACCCAAGCAATCATGCACGTCAGTGGTATTAAATTACGCATAGTATTATAGACCTGCTGGTCCAAAAATGGATACCAATGTTGCCATTCAGTGCCTTGCTGGAGTAATCCACATGAACGAAAATGTTTCTACAAAAAACCTAACCCACAGAATCTTTCTACCCACTTACCTGAGGTTCTCATGGAGTTTATGGTTAGCTAGATGAGAGATGGGACATCAGATGCAAAAGCGTTCTTGAAGATGTCGTCCGCAAACTTCGACATAAATAGCAGTTCGTCAAAACTTGTAACCGTCGCCAGGGATGCAATTCGAGCAGGACTGCTGAAATTCTGACAATATTCCACTGCGTCTCTATACGATAAGGATGCTGCAAAGTACCGGTAGCATTTGCCTTGACTCTCAGTCCATTGCAATGGGCAGCGTGTACATACTCCTTGAATGGAATCAATCGAAGTCTGTAGGTAGACAATCGCCAGAATCACCCAGAGAGCCATTGTGCAGTAGTAGCGTATAAATCTTGGCAACTAAACTCACCACTACCCAAAAACTGCACTCCGCACTTGGAACAACTCAGGCAAATGTTGACTGGCTTTCCTGTATAGTTTTTGAATACTGACTATTTTGCCACTAATATTAGTTCTGGTTATGCTTATCCCAATGTTGACGTTACTGTGATTCAGTCGACGTATACTTTGTTGCGCAGGCAAACGTCAGTAGGCCAAGGTAATCAACTTTGACTCCACGGGCTGCGTGCGCGTTCCTTCACTGGCGCAAGGCATGGTGGGAACCAACATGGCGCGGCACCCATGGGAACTAGGCTGGTACATAATGCGTTAATGCATTTGCACTCGGTTGCATAAGATACGTACGGGTGTATCTTTTCTTTCGTTTCATTCTTCATCAAAAACTACTGGTTAGTAAGCATGGAGTTGCGCTGTATTTCGGCTTTAGAAAATTAACATTCTGGCCTGATGATTCTCATTACCGACTCTCAGAAACATTTTATGCTCCTGAGGCTGTAACGAATGATGCGAGTTTTAATTGACTGGATTGGATCGCTTATTGATATAACGAATGCGGCGGGTGGCTATTATTAAGCTTCCAGAGAGGTTTGAGCAGGTATCCTGCAGAAGTTTTTCTGTTTTTCCCTCTCAGGCTCTTGAGTTTGTGAAAATGGCGGCAGTTTACGGTATCATTCATAAATTGTGTGAAAATGGCGGCAGTTTACGGTATCATTCATAAATTGTGTCGGAGCGCTATGCAAAATTGGCTATGCATTATTTGTTCAATTTGTGTGAAACTCCTTGGGCTTTTTTAGTGAAAATTCATAGATTGACTGCTTCCAAATCAGCAACATTTGCTAATGATGAGGTTTAACGGTTCGGAAGTGGGTTTGCCATACCAAATTATTAGAAATATTGAAAGGGGTTTAGCTTCCCATATCGGTTAGGATTACTCCCAGAGCTACAAAGTGCACTGGAAAATTGCCCGGATTAAAACGAAGATAGAAATTGCATATTACCCAAAGTTTGAGTTGTGTCAACCCAACATTGGGGTAGTATTTACCCATTTTATGGACGAAGCCAGGCTCATACTCGTGTATGAACTTGAGACCCGTATGCTCATCATGGACGGTAAGGAGCTCTGATATTTATGCCTTTGTGGCATTTTTGGATTTACATCTCTGAACAAACCCACCTGTAACGAACTGTCTCAGGTTTTGCCTCCGTGTAATTCACCCTCAGTTTTTTACTTACGGTGTTTTAAATTCAAATTTCCACCAAAGTGCTGCACAGCGTTTTCATTTACACGCGAAGTATGACTAAACAGCATGTTATTAAGTAACATCCACTGCACTGCACATGCACATATTCAATATAATCCGCATTTATACCGTACGGCTCAGATCTCCGTAGTCTATACAACCTATACTCGTTGTGAATAGGCTTAAAACTTAATAAGATGTAATTTCTGTGTTAATTCTAATTTCTTAGTCTTAAAAATGTAGTTGCAGTGTGAAAATTTTAAGTTAAACCTTTATTTGCTGTAGGATAATTAAGCGTCATTTAGGATCACTAAATACGTTTTTTGTGACAAAACATGATCTGGCTTGTCTTGCTTTATGTTGCAAATGATGTGCCATTCGGATTGTGCTTTTGTGTTACTTACTCTTTATTCAGATAAACGTGTGGAGAAATGATCGTCGTTCGATCCTTCCATCAATTGCTTGATCGATTCATCTACCAATCTGTTAATTGGTCAATCATTAAAATTGTACACAGAGACATTAGATTAATTCTAATCAAGATTACATTCACCAAATTGAACCCAACTGTATCTAGTATACAAAGGGGCAAACATTTCAAAGAACACTTTATTATATTATTTATTATTTAAATAACATTAATTGTATGTTAAAGTAAGGACATTACCTATATAGGCACGTCACACTTCAAAACTTCTATTCATAAATCTTGTTGCATTATTGTACAAAGATTGATTTGATCAATTTCTTTCCTCGACTTCTGATATTTGGAAGAAGTCATTTGGTCGTGCTTGCCGCATGAACTGCATTCACAATGACATCACCAAAAGCACAGGACTTTCGTATAACGCATTATTTATTATTAATCGTTAATCGTTAATTATTATTTATCGTTAAGCCAACTGTGGTTTTTTTCTTTAACTCTTGTTAAAAGCACATCAACAATTATTCATTATTATTTATCGACAACTAAAGGCTAAAGGCAAAGAACATCTAATTATCGAACACTTCTTCCGCTAGCTGATTCTAAGTCTTTAAAATCGTATTATAAATCAAACAGGCAATTACATAATGACAATTATTAATTGTATTTAAATCATACAATCATCTCATTTTGAATAAGTTTTCATTTCTTCAGTTCTTCAAGTCCTCTCTATTTTTCTTGAACACGACACAAAATTATTTTGTCAGAAACAGATGGTTGTATCACAACTGACAAATAAACGGGTTTTCCTGCAGCTCTAAGCGAGGCCCGGTCGTTGGTGATCCATCAGTAGCTGGTGGTGTGTTATAAAAAATGTCAGTATTCTCGTCATCCATGTTGAATTGGTGTTCCGTGTCGTCAGTAGCCAACAAGGTAGGACCTAGAATGCGTGTTATTAAAACAGGGAAATGCAAACGGTAGACGCGTCAGATTATTTTGACAGTCTTATACTTTGGATGCCATGGAATTTTATATTGCCTCAGAATATACCTGCGGGCCCAACATTTGGAAAAGTCTCTCACTAAGTAAGATCTAATACACAGAACAACCGATCCCATTTCCGGTACGTCTGGCGTACGAAGAATCTCCAGAACTAACCGCGCACTTGAAAGCGGATCATCCTTCTTCGTGTATTAGGGCACCCTTTTTATATTCTGTGGTTCTCATTTCCGATCGACCCTATTTTGGGCTCCCGATTATGGGAAAAAAGTTTTTTTTCCCCCACCGACCCTGCTAAAAGGACCTTAACCCCCCCCAAAAAAAAAAAAAAAAACTGGCCAGCATGACCTTTGAAAACAAAAGCCCTGAAAACTTACGATTTTGCAAACGACCAACTGCGACGGTCGGTGTTCGCGTGAACATTTGGTATACCGCATTCAGTAGCCCTACACTTGTCTTGACCCGGACTCGTAGAAGGGGGTTTTCAATGTGAGCAGCATGGTACCGACCAGAAGCATTAGACTTCTCTTCGTTTAACAATAAGGACATGTATATCCCATTTGCATGTAAGTATACACACAAAACGTGTTTTTAACATTTTTTATACATTTATCTTTGTTTAATACTTATGTATATCAAAAATGCAGAGAGAACAAAAAGGCCCCTGTACACGGAAAATTGAGGATAAAAGATAAGTCTACTCGAGTAGCTACGCGCGCTGATCATATCATTCAATATGGCGGCGTCCACTGTTGTGACCTTCGTTAGTTGCATGGTCCAAATAAAATCACGGGGTCCGATTACGATAGGCCCAACCTGGGTCCAAGATGTGGCAGAGAATATTCAATAAAACAAGTAACAAGAATATGTGCACATTGTGCACTTGGCCTGGTTTATTCAGTCATTTATACACCAGCAACATGGAATTTTTTAAAGGATTTTTTTTTTCGACCGACCGACCTTATCTCAAGTGGTAAAAGAAATGAGAACCATAGAATTTAACAAGAGCGCCCTAATGACCTGGGAAGGTACGGCAACCTCACATTTGGGTGAAACCCTGAAAATGCTGTTGTTTATGTTTCTTAATCAATTACAAGTTGGATTGTTTAAAGAATGCCTCAACTGAACTTATTCACGAGTCGACCACATTAAACTGAATGCGAGGTTAACTTGTTTTATTTCGAGAATCATACGAAATTAGTAAATGAAGTTAAAGATAAGTTTCACCCCAAGTGATGTTTCAAACAACATTTTTAAATACAAAATGTGATTTACGGAACCCCAAAGAGTCTGGCACCACCCAATTAGGCAGGTAACGTGGAATGAGATGTTTTAGTGAGCATGATCAGAAATTGTTTCTTTGTGTGAGTAAAGTCTATTGATTGTTTCTGGAAAGTCAAGATTCATAGAATGTGTCCAATTTCCAATGAGGGTTTTTGGTGCGTTCAGTCACCACCTTTCCAATGATGCATATGACACGCATCTTGAAGAGGATAATCAAATAGAGAACGACGACGGGAAATACATTCGAGGAAACTGCTTGCCAGAGGTGGTAGCAGGTCTTTTTTGCAAGTTGAAATCAAAAGTCAATTAGTGCAATTCTATAGGCAAGTCACTTTGGTCATTTGGTCCAGTCACGAGTCAAATGTAAAGTCATTTGATCACAGGTCAAGTCGAGTCACAATTCAATTTGGTCCAAATACAAGAAAGTCACAAAGTACAAGTCAAGTCTTGCAATGTGTGATTTCAACCACATCCAAATGATTTAGACATGGTCGTAGGCAGACTTGACCGACGTGTAGAAGTCGCGAGCCGAACGAGGTCTTACGCTGATTATTATAAGATCTCAAGGAACAAGTTGATAGACCTAATTTAAAACTTTAATGGATTCGATTGAATAGTCTTCGGACCTGCATTGGTAACAAGTTATAACGTGGAAGTCCAAGTCGAATCCAAAGTCAAGAACTGATAGTTATAAGTCAAGTCACGAGTCACAAAAAATACTGACTCGAGTCCAACTGGAGTCAAGTCAAGTGACTCGAGGCTACAACTATGCTGCTTGCCTCCTTCGATTCAATTTCGCTTGGAAAATACGCACATTGCCAGTTATCCCAACGAATAAATATGACATTTTATATGGGGCTGTTTTGATTTCCTTATTTACATCATCAAATTAAATTTATGCGGTCAATTATTCAACTGAAGTCACTTCAAAACAGACTAACGGTATTTAGTTATTCGAAATGAATCTTCTTGAAATTTTAAAGATAAAGCACACTTACCAATAGTTGCATGATCTACGGTTGCGATGTTTACCAGTTTGCCTGAATTTTAAAAAGGAAAATATCCTGATACACTTAGTTTTGAACATTCATATTTTCTTGTTATTCCTAGGGCTACTGAAAGGGGCTGGTTTTCTGAACTGCTTGCGTTTGGATGTTCGTTATTCTTGTAATATTGTCTACTGTACCTTTGGCTTAAGGTTTTAAAAGCAAAAAAGCATAGCCGTGCAATTGAGGATTATATAGCATTTTATAGAAGTAAAACTTTAAATATCGAAGATTAGTAATGACATTTATATTGGCACGCTGTATGCGGGATGATGAGCTGACTGGCATATGGAACTGCTTTGATAACGGAGTTATACAAAAATTTCAAATGGAAAAAAACAATTCGTTTCTCTGATACATTAAGGTCTGAGAGGAAATAACGGCCTTTATTTCTGTATGTGAAAAGGAAACCGAGATTAATTTCTTCATTTTTTGGACATAGCTAATTTTTTTGAAAATTAGCGACAACTGTTTATTAACTAATGATGCCCTCTTTCCTCTGACACCAAGAAGTCCAATTTACTGTCACAGATGACTGAGCACGAAGCAATTCAATCAACCATGTCAGAACTGGTCTTGCACCAGATTCACCGCAGGTTAACTCTAACCATTTTCTTACCTTAAAAAAAGAAGATGAAAGACCAATGTGTCCTTAACAAAATTTTTATTCAGTGATTTAACATTTGGATGCTTATGCCTGTCTCGACCTAACCCCATCGTCCTTCGACATGGCCCCCATTCCTTTCAACATAAATTTAGCTCTGGTTCTCATCGCTCTCAAAGCATTCCTGATTACGTCTCTCTGTCCTCTGAAGGTCTCAACCGCAGCGACAATTGTGGCAAGTAGGTCATTGATATCTTACGGTGGCGCCTTGTACACTTGGTTCTTAATAATATGTCCCACAAAAAGAAATTACAGCGGGTGATGTCGGGAACCTTGGTGGCCACTCAATCTCACGGTTGATCGAAATTACTCTCGTGTGGAACAACTCTCTGAGCCTTTCCCTCGCCTCCTCAGCGTATATGTTTGCTACACTGAACTGGGTACTATTTTCCGAAAGAATTAGATCTTAAAAGGACTGTTCTTATGTTTAAGTGTCTAAACAAATTGACACCTATGTATATGACAAATCTGTTTATGCCATTCACACAGATTTGTGAAACAAGATACACAATTAACAAGGCACTTAGCCAAAATAGAATGCCACGCTCAAAGTTTTGCGGTTAAAGGTGCAAAAATATGGAACAATTTGCCAGAGCAACTCAGAAGTATAGACTCCCCAGGGACATTCAAATCAGAACTACGGAAAGCCATGACCAGTGCCGTGTAGTCGAAAATGCTGATCTATGGAGTTGTTAACTTGGTTGCCAATGTTCATTGGAGCCGGATCGGGAATTTTGTCGTTTTCTTTTTTCCTATAGGGTTTTAGCGGAGTTTTCGCCTATCCCGCGATCAGTATTTAATTAATGTCGTGATTATTTATATGTTCACATGTGTATGATATTTTAGCGGTCTGTATTTGTAAATATTAACATTTGTCGTATTCTTTTGTCAATTTTACTTTTCGTTGTGAGTTTCTAACTTTTTTATTAATTTGTAATGATCGCGGACCCAATGGAAACCAGTATGTAACTGATTGGGAAATGGTATAAATAAATAAATAACACCTTTGTGTTCAAAGTGTTGCTGTTACTGCAGTAGAATTTCGTAGTTGCTAGTCTCAAGGTAACGTTCACCACTGAGATTGCCATCAAAGAAACAGGGTCCAATGACGGTGCCGTCTCCACGCAGACCTATCCAAAGAGGAATCTTCTCTCGGCTCCCTTTCACATCAAACTGAAGTTGCGTGGGGTATCCATAGGAGCGCATTCACAGACGTTCTGGTTATTGACTTGGCCATTCATGAACAATGCTGCTTCATCCCCATTCACAACGTGGTCCGAGAATCTGGGATGTTGGTCAAGGAACTAACGGCAAGCTTTTAGTCGTCTGGGTAGGTCTGCATCAAGGAGTTATTGTCGCCTGTACATCTTGTACGGGTACCATTGGATGTCCAATCGAGCAATCTTGTGGGAAAGAGGATGGCGAGATCCAAAGCCCACTTCTCCCGGCAGACACATGCGGGTCTCTTTGTAGCAACTCAGGGACACCTCTGATGTTCGCTTTTAACCCTGCCGTTTTTCGTCGGCCTGAGCGACCTTTGCTGAGATTCAGGCTTGTTCCCTTCCCTTGGTACTTTACTTTGGATGTTTTTGTCGACTTGGAAGGAATGACTCAGTCAGGAAAACGCTGACCAAATGCATCTGCTACTTGCTAGTCCTCAACCACTCTGTTACCACTAACACACGCTACTCCGTTGTAAGCTGCATTTTGCTGGTCTGAGAAAATGAAGGAGGAACTGGGCAGACAGTGTTCTTTACCAAATCATCTATCTGGTGCAAGACCAGTTCCAACATGGTTGATTGAACTAGTTTGTGCTCAGTCACATGTGACAGATAATTGGATTACTGGTGTCATAAGAAAGAGGACATCATTAGTAAACCCTGCGGAATAGTTTGTCTGAGGATATAGTGGAGGTGATTACAGTTGGCCGTGAAATTATTTTTTTATCAAGTAATTAGCAAAACCCAGTCTGAAAAAGGCGGAGGGCACTTTACGCAAGGGGATGGGGATTGCCAATACCAAAAATATCTAACTATATCCAAGGTATTAGTTTCTTTTTTAAACACACTATACATGTATGGAATGGGTACCTACCTATCGATCTACATTCATACAGATGGCGTATTTCCTGTATGCCAAGGAGACCATCAAACACAACCAAACTGCTGTACGCTGCTGAGCCGCCATATTGACTAACGGGATACTTCCCTGTGCACGTGTTTGTCATGCCCAGGTAAAGACGTGTGAAGTCATCCGACCGTCCACCCTCAGTGATCGCATCTGACATGTCGTCTGCCTGGATCAGTTCGCCGTCGACATAAACTTTCAAGTCCATGCTTGGCATGCCTATTGAGTTAACCGTAAATGTCAGGTGAAACCATTTGTCCAAAGGTACTTTGCCCTTAGTATAATTGCGACTAATCACGTGTTTTTGGGACCTTGCCATGAATTGAAACTGACACGAGCCGGCATTGTACAGGAAAACAATTCCTCTTGCCGACTGCGTTTGTCCGCCCGAGCTCAAGTAATAACCCCTATAGCTTGAATTGCGTGGGGGCGTGTCAATTTTTAGCCATATTGTCCATGTCGCACTGTGTGAGTGACAGCTGTCAAGATCCGAGATACAACTCCTACTAAAGTCTCCCAGATCTATGAATGATTCAACAGGCACGTGTACCGCGCATGTCTGATCTAGTCTCTCTGGCCCGGGAACCACTGAGACAGCGCTTTCATTTCCTCCTACTTGATACGTCTCATTGTTTATGAGGTTATCCCCACAAGGTATGACGTCACTCTCCTTGTTGAATGATTGATGCAAGATTGGTGGTAACTCCAATTCTGAAAAAGTGAAAGAGTTAAACAGTTAAAACTTCAGGTCAGCTTTTGTTTGATTTACAAACAATTCAGACGGGATCAGATATGACACAGCTTAAACGATAATATTTGGAGGAATGCTGTGATGTAATACTCTCATGTGCTTCTGGTGGGGGGGGGGTAGAGAAATACGAAGCCTAGATATGTGAGGGAGATGGGCATAACTGGAAGTGCATGGGCGTTGTTGGCCTATTTGAAATGGGCTGGGGCGCTGTTACATCAGCCTTAGATAAATATTATATTTTCCAGTCCTTGCGTGCATAGCATTCCTTTTGGTCCAGCATTGTGACACATTCTCCCTTATAAACGTGCGTGTGTCGTCGTTGCGGCAGGGGTCTACTCTGTACGAGGGCCGTATCCTCTGCTGCCGCTCTCCAGCAATCCACCGATCATCAGCGGCTCTTATGGCCCACGCCCAAAGGGCCATGTTCCGGTCAACACAAGCCAAGATCAAGTCGCCTCAGGCCTGAGCTCCCGCTTGACTTTCTGTGAGGCCCGCTCAAGACCGAGATCTGCCGCTGACCACCATCCTTCAAGACCATGATGGTCAACCTGATTACCATCTCCCCCTGGGACCCAAGACTGGCCGTGGTGACTGTACCAGGCTCGCATCACAAGGATCACAACGCCCCTCTACACATTTCAGTTGGATACCGATATCCCTTTTATTACTCGATGCATTATGATTGTCCTTTGTAAATAAATTACGCTGCGTTTCGCTGCGTTTTCTGGTTTTCGAAAGATCAATTTAATTTTGATTAAGTTAACTTTTGTCTCCGCTGTCCTTCCTTTGCGAGGTCTGTTTTTGGAAAATTCCTGTTTTGAAGTAATCAACGTTGGTGCAAAAATAATATCTGACTTTGTAACAAGTGCCACCATCAAATTTGCCAACGGACTGTCGGTAAACAGCATGATTATGGTAGTCTGGTTCGGCGATGTGACACTTATGTGGCCCTCTTACGCCATTTTCCCGACAACACCAAGATTTTGCCGACAAAATCCGGCTAATGGGGTATCACCCTAACTGAACGTGGCAACTATTTGCTTTGCTACAAGTTGATATGAGGTAGTCACGCAGCAACTTCACCTTTTTCAACAGTTAAAATGCAAGTATCTCGAGACCACAATGACATATAATTCTGGATCGCACGTTATTTATAGAGGAATTTACAGTCTTCAGTCAGTAACGGGCTTGTTTTACTTGTAATATCACAACAAGTTGCCCTTTCCATTTAAACTCAACAAATTTTTGGTAAAAATCAATGGAAGGGTGCGGTAAAATGCCAATTCTGTGCTTTGTGCCCAAGAAAACCAGGCTGTAACTTTCGAAGCGTTTGTTACTTCTGCTTGGATCAAGCTTTTAGAGTCTAAACTTGCTCGTTATATTCATGTAAAAATTATGGCAATTGGTCAATATTAACCGATTGCTCTAGCCAGGAGAAGCGTATTTGCACCAATAGACATAGTGGTTTTAAAAGTGAAATCCCGGTGCGCGCGGTCAACGTTCGCTGTGAGCCTCAACGACGCAGCGGGCATGCAACTCTACTAAATTTAGAGGATCACATATCGCTGAAAATTTGAGGAGCTTAACACGGTATGCAGGATAACAGAAACCATCTTCACATTTTCTATACAACATGCACTGATCAGTGTTATATGAATTGAACTGATCTATTCAATATTTGTTCGGAAAGGTCTTTATGGCCTTGGTCGCGTACTAGGCCATGTAAATTTAGCCTACGTGTTGAATTCCAGCCCTGGAGGGACAAGCTATTTAGTGTTGAGGGAAGAAAAAGTTGTCCTTTATACAAATTGAAACTGTTGAGTGCAAAATATTTCAAAACATCTTCCCGGAATAACGAATTAAGACTTCAGACTTGACAGGTGAACTACCCAGAGGTTTTTTTTAATTTTTTGGGGAGGGGGGCTGATGGCAATTTGGGGATAAAGAAATTTATCAGATTTAGTGAAGCTTAGCAAGCTAATGCGTGATTAAAAAGAAACTGATTACCACAATTAAAATTTTCGTGTTTCATTTTCCATTTATTACAGAACTTCATGGCCAACAAAACCTAATGCAGCAAAGAAAAGGGGCTACCTTGCAATTGCTACAGGCCCGATAAGACTGGCCAAGGAAGTGCCTACAACGTGAGGCAAACGAGAATCATCGTCTCCAATGGAATTGTTGGCATTAAATGTTCTTGAAGAAAAACCGGAGAAGAGATTGTTATTTCTGAAAGTACATTACAAAGGTTGGCCATCAAAATATGACGAGCGGCGAGAAGCAACTGACGTAATTGATATGCCACATCATATGGTGGTAACCACTGATGAAATAAATGACTAATTAAAAGTTAGATGTTGCTGTTGCATTCAGAGAGATTTGTGTGGTCATCAAAAACAGACTCGGCTGTAAACATTGTTATTGGAATTCCTAAGGAAGCATTTACAGTTTTCAGTTACTGTAATGCTCTGTATAAAAACCATCCATACTCCATTTTCAAGTCATCGCGACTTTGAACCCCTACATTCATTCACTGAAGCTTTCAGCTGAGAATTGAATTTATTTGTCGTAATGGTAAAGATATGATCGGGGTGAACTTTTGAATTGTACACTAACTTTTTCAACTTACCTGTCGTAATTGAATTTTGCGACCTCTTGTTTGATCTCTATGGGTGTACAAATTTTTATTGATATCGTAACATTCTCCTCATGTTTCATTATGTACAAAGCTATTCTGGGGAGACTTGTCACACAGTCAAAAATGCTGTCTGCAAAGAATTAAGAAACAAAGGACAGATGCTGGTGAAACAACGTGTAGAGGCTCATTTCCATACGTATGTTTTTGGGGCACATGGCGTACAAGATACGCTCGTGCGTTTCACTTTCAAGGGTGCAAAAACAACGCCCTTAACATGACGCACGTGTGCGTTGCCTTCGACCGTCAAAATCACTGCGGACGGATTCGCAACGCTTGGTGCAAGTGTTGACGCGTACGTGGAAAGGAGCCGTATGCAGTTTGTGTAAGGGGTACTCTACCCTTGTGAACATCCAGATAACAACCAGGACATAATAGGAAGACATGAATTTGGCAATTGAATGTAAAAGGAAGATGTAGTACATGTACACGGTGAGTGTAACATGTAGCTCATGTCGAGTCAACGACATAACAGAAGAACATGCCATGTTAATTGACCTGTGTGAGTTGTCTGCTTCAAGTTAATTTTGGCTTTAGATCTTCAGAACATTATCTGACCTCGAAATGAAAGTAACTCTCATTGATCTTGAGACAGTTTCCAACATTTCAATATAAGGCTGTTTGTTAAAGATGTTCAGGTTGAATTTAAAACAAAGAATGTGGTACATATAGGCCTAGGCCCTACATGTTGTTAACATCAACCTGTCGCAACAAAAGTACAGGAACGTGCAATGCAGTTCGGGTATAATTGAACTTTTTACGAAACAACATCTTGCTAATTTTTTGTCGTATTAATCCTACTTAACATAGGACAAATAATGATGCTTTAAAAGTTGAAAGTGCCAATTCATGAATACAACACACTCTTCCAAGGAATTACAAACACTTATGGTGAAACAACATTGTGCAATTTCTACATTGTATTGACTTGGGATGTAACATTAGACAATTTAGAATGGAAGACATATCTGAAAATACAAAAAGGATTGAATTTGTTTGCTAGAATATTTGAATTTGTTTGCTAGAATATTTGAATTTGTTTGCTAGAATATTTGAAATATTGAAAATGTATGTTTGTATTGCAAACGTTTGTAATTAAAAGCAAGCTGTTACAAACAGACACGTTGTTTATCAGGCCCCATGAGAGCAAAAATGTCTCAGACCTTTTTTTCTTTTTCTTTTAAGCCATCGAATGCTGAAATTGATAAGTAACTACTCATGTTTGCTTGCCATACCATGTCTTTTTGAAGCTGTTATTTTACATCAAATTTTAATCTTTTTATATGTATTTAGCTCTTCAGATTTGTTTTTGTCTTATTTGCAACCTTTTTAAAATGTGTCGTGGTGGCACATCCCACAAGATTTTAATTTCCGATTTGCAATTTTTTTTACCCCTTGCTGACTGGGACCTTTTAAGTGAAACTTACAATAAATATTTTCAAACTGCTTAATCATTTTGAAATTGTTAATCTACTGTTGATCATTGGTGGTGTGCCATAAAATCAAACATGTTGCTGTTACTAACAAATCCCACTTTCACCCAAGTGTTTTCATTATCACTTGTGATTTGTAATACTCAACCAGTGCTTTAAATATATGGGGGGGGGTTGAAATTGCTGAATACGTTGAATTCGGATGGGGCGGATGTTTTTGGTACCTTTTTTTGGTTTCAAAAGATTCCACTCTGGAACGTCAAGCTTTGAGAGCTTTGTTTATTATTTCGCTTCATACTGAAATGCTGATGAGGCAGATGCACAGTTTGTAGTCGGTGCCTGTGATCATTGTGTGCACCTCTGCATATCACTGAACCCCTGTGATGTGGGACAGTTCGTCCCAGGCATGCAAGGTGCCTGTGATCATTGTGTGCACCTCTGCATATCACTGAACCCCTGTGATGTGGGACAGTTCGTCCCAGGCATGCAAGGTGCCTGTGATCATTGTGTGCACCTCTGAATATCACTGAACCCCTGTGATGTGGGACAGTTCGTCCCAGGCATGCAAGGTGCCTGTGATCATTGTGTGCACCTCTGAATATCACTGAACCCCTGTGATGTGGGACAGTTAGTCCCAGGCAGCAAGATGTCTATCTCATCAAGGTTGGAGCTGTGTTCACGTGGTCCATTTGGTTTGTGCGTATGAAAGTGTTTGTGCCCACTCATCAAGGGCCTGGGCTCTTCGACTGTTTTGGGCAATCAAGGATAGGAAACCAAACATTTTCCCCTTTTGTGTGCATAAGGACTCCACATTTATCAATTGAATCGTGTGTGCTTTTGTCGTTGTCGAAAAATGTGAATTGATTCGGGATTTCTCAGTTTTATAAGCTGGGTGTCAAGATGTCAAGTTAAGATCTTGCGGCCCCAATGATTTTAGTGTAACAAATTTGGGGTTAAAATACCTTACATAAGGTCGTGTGTGTCGTACCTAGTATATATGGAATCACAGCCAACACACTCCATAAAAATCCTGCTCTGACGGCACATTCTTCAAACAGGACTACTGAAGATGGGACTAATTGTCGTGCTTGAGTCGTCTGTGGAATAGGTCTTTTGTAACAGAATGTAATAAATCTACTGTTATTATTAAGCAACTCATTGCTACGTGCACCGGAGACCAAAGGCTTTGAAATGTCGTCAGAGTTGGTTTCGTTCAAAATGAAGCTTGTTAATCCAACATAATCAACGTTTGGGCTGCTTACTAAAAACTGATTGTTGTCTCTACAAGGCTAGGCCTGCACGCAGAAGGGTGGTTCGTACTATATTGTGTTCAGTCAAGGGTAGAAAAAACATTACGTTCATCGGAACGACTCGTCCTGGGCATTGCCAAATGTTAAATTAGTCATGAATACATTTATGCTGTCCATAAATAAGATAATAAATTGTTGAAAGGGACCGCCATATGGGAAACCTGTTGTGCCAAAAGGACCCATCAAAATGCACGGCTGAAGCTGCTGTGCGCAGATAACCTTGAATTGCCCTACCTCTGTAGAGAGCTACTCACGTACATTAAACACACATCAAAATCACCCAAGGGCAGGAAAACCATTAACTTCATCCGAATAACTCGCCTCATGTTAAATGAGGCATGAATAAACTGATGCTGTCCACAATAAGATAATAAATTGTTGAGTAGGACTGCAGGACTGCCTCTGCGGCAGTTCGGGTGCGGTTGCCTTCGCGTTCGCAGCCCTCTGCCATTATCTTTGTTTATTTTTGGTTTCTTAAGATGGTATATTCCTCCCAGAAGACCTTGTTGGAAAGACATTTTTATGCGCACTATACCTTTGACCATGAATGAATACTATGCACTTCAACACAAGTTCTTCTGTATATTCCATGTGTCATTTATGAGGATTGTGTCGCTCCAGTGTACAACGCCATATTACACAAGCCAATAAACGAAACACAAAATCACACCTCAAAAATCCAGCCTTTAAATCTTGAAAAAATTGAACGAATTTTGCTGGAGCTTACCATACACATAAAGAAATATTAAACCGGATTTAGGCTTCTTGGTAACCCAACAGTACGGAGCAAAACTACGATGAATGGCACGGACAAATTATAGTTAGCCTCTCTACAAAATGTTACGCGACAAAAGGCGAGGCCATTGCATGTGTCAGGGTCACAAAATGACAGTAGTTGTGTATTCGTGTCATAATGGATGTCAATGTTGCCGTTGGGGGATTTCACATTAGCGCCGTTTGCGCATATCCGCATCGAAACCGAGGCTCTCTGTGTCGAACCTCGTCGGGCGCGCCGGCAGAGTCGACACAGTACATGCAGCTTCAGTTTAAACCACGCACACTGCGCATGCAGATACACGTCCATCGCAGGTACGTTAGTTCGCGGTAAATTGCCGTTATTTTTTCTTTTGATTTGACGTGCCGAGTCATCCTGACTCTTCCACAAAAATGTGCAGCCTGAAAAGTCATAACATACCTTTATGTATTTTGTGTGTTGACTCCTTACTTTCAATCGTCTGATCGTATTAAGAATTGAAGCTGACACATACAGCCTCGTTTTCAAACGCAGAAGTGCGCGGATCGACTCTAAAAGCGTCGTATTGGGATCCCTCTATTCAGCGCCTTGCTCGAGCTATTATTATGAATGAAATGGTTCTACAAAAAGCCAAATGCACGTTGATATAAACTTACCAGAGGTGTTCCTGGAGTTTATGGTTAGCCAGATGAGAGATGGGACATCGGGTGCAAAAGCGTTCTTGAAGATGTCGTCTACAAACTTCGACATAAACAGCAGTTCGTTAAAACTTGTAACCGTCGCCAGGGATGCAATTCGAGCAGGACGGCTGAAATGCTGACAATATTCGACTGCGTCTCTGTACGATAAGGATGCTTCAAAATACCTGTAGCAGTTGCTTTGACTCTCAGTCCATTGGAATGGGCACGGTGTACATACTGCTTGAATGGAATCAATCGAAGTCTGTAGGTAGACAATCGCCAGAATCACCCAGAGGGCCATTGTGCAGTAGCAGCGTATAAATCTTGGCAACTAAACTCACCACTAGCCAATAACTGCACGCCGCACTTGGAACAACTCAGGCAAATGTTGACTGGCTTTCCCAGTCAACTTTCAGAACACTGACTAGGAACGCAATATCTGAAGTCTCAAGTTCACCAATGTTTATTCTGTTTATGCTTCGTCTATTATTGACGTTACTGTGATTACAGTTCACGTGCATTTTACGTCACACAGACGGGTTTCCTACCCTTCTCAAAGGGCCCTAGCCCCTTGATCGCGTGGGTAAACGTCTGTATCTGCTCTCGCTTTGTTCTGCTTCATAAACCTCTTGCGGCCAAGTACACAGCGATGTATTTTACAGCGGCGACCTGATGAAAGTACTTCAGGGCCTCTCATGTATGACAAGTCTCACACTACGGACACCACAAGCATACAATGATAACATTTACTAACTTTTCGGAAAGGGGTAGGGCACTTTGAAAGAAGCCACGCAACAAGTTCACCGAGGGCGTATATATCTACATATTGTTGCGCTCCCAACAAACTGTTCCCCTATATGCATGTAGATTATAGCGTACACGCTATCACACACACCACTTACCCCACAGCAAGCGCGCAATGATCATCTAGATTACACGCATTGTACACGGCGCATTGCACACCCCGCGCGACCCGGTTGCACTACATGCTGCGACATGCCCTTGAAGTGCAAGTCCGTAGCACATTTCCAACTTCGTCATTTTCCCCCAAATCCTTTCTCGGAGTCGATCCTACTCTCAGTCACACATATGACCCGTACATTCGACCCACACAGACCCCCAACTCATATCGTATGTGTCCCGCCAAACCACACGCCGAAAGCCTGTGTCCGGGGATAGGGGATGGTGGTTTTGTGGGGGGGATAACTTGGCCAGCCAAAATTTGAAAAGTGCAGGGTGATACATACACCAAGTAACAGTTTAAATAATGGGGGCAATGTTTATGATTCAGATGTTCATCTTCTATATAATATTCAGGCAGAACTGTACATTATAACGGCATACCTACGGCTTTCTTATCGTTCTGCCATTTAAGTGCTATCGAATAGGCTACATTTTGGTTGTTTGGAAGTCCGAAAAATACTGCATAATTCGCCTGAATGTTTTTCTGACAGTGGAGGCGTGATTGAAGGGCCCCTCCCGAGTCAAAAGCTGGGGATGTATACTCCAACCCCTCCATCCATTGCTTCAGGTTTGAAAGATTTATATAAAAAAAGATTCATTACCTGTCGTTTTGAAGGATGTTGAGGGTCTGTACAGATTACACGACCCTTAAGAATATAAAGCTGTCGAGGAAAACAATAATTTGAAAGGCAAATTTCACCTAAAACAACCCAAAGCAGATTACAACAAAAATAAATATACCGCTTTCTTCTACAAAAAAAAATATTGGCTAAGCCCTTTCGGAACGTGTGCTTGCTCATCAATATTTTGCCCCTTTCATGGTTAGACGGTAAATCTATTGATTTTTCACATCATTGATATATATATTGACCTAAGGCTTGTAGATGACTGACGCTGATTGTTTCCATGGCTTAATGGCTACCCTGGAACAGCATGCTTTTGTCGACAGAGGCTAGCCACATGTCCTTATTGGGAGCGACAACAGCACATTTTTATTGGCAGAGGCAAACCGCTTGTGTTCATTGGCCGAGATGAACCGCATGTTTTTATTGGCAGAGACAAACCGCTTGTCTTTATTACCAGATTACGAAGAACGTTTGCCTCAAGGAACTGGTTCATCCTGTCATATCATGAATCTTATTGACACTGTGAGAGTGCCTTTGGGCGGAAAAGGCGTGCTGCTCTATTTCATCTCTTATGTGCGTTTTGAGCAAAATCCTAGAGATTTTTATTCATTCCCTCCTACTTATTACGAGATTGCAAAAATGGTGACAGATGATGGTATCATTCGTCTTTTTATGTTGAAGCCCCTGTATGCGAAATAGTCATGCTCCACCTCAACCTAATTGGTCAAGTATCATGAAACCTTTCGGTGTGAATTCATAGATCAGGTGGTTAGGAGCCCGTCATTTTCAAATTCGGGCGTGAGTATGAGCCGTGATGAAGGCGCACTGTTGTAGCTAACTTTAATTTTACAAGGTAGGCTTGCTTTTTTTTTTTAAAACAGACCTGCATTGGGGTTTGATTTAAACGCCAAAGCAACCCTTTACAATAATAGGCTTGGCAATAGACTGCGTGACTTTACACCTTTCTGTATAATACTCGACGTACAGTATCAGTAGACCATAGTGAATTGTGTTGATACTTCATGGAAAGGGTTTTTTTAAACAGCTTGAAGGCAGGCTTGAATTCGTACTAGAAACCATATCAATTCAGTCCATTATCGTTAGTGTCATGCCCGGTTTTAAACTTATGCACCTGAGGCCACTCATGTTAATCTAGGGCGTAGAGACATTTCTTGATTTACAATAGAAGTAAGCACAGTTGTACAATATCCATGATGTTCCAAATTAAAAACTTCACCAAGGTGCTGTAAAACGTTTCTCATTACAAGCGGATAATATCCTTATTGCATGTTCATAAGCTGTACAACCAAGGCGTTGGACATGCACTTAGTTTTAATACAATTTTAATACAATCTATTCAGGTATGCCTAAGATCATCGTGGTATACACACTCTATAGCCCCTATACTGTAGGCTGCAAGGTTTTAATAAGATGTGTTTTCTGGGTGGAGACTTGTTGATACTAATGTGTGATTGGTGTACAACATTTTTGATTGATATTGTACCGAATTCATATTTGCTTTTTTCATAACTACCAGAACAGCTTGTATAAATAAATATAGACCAGGAAGAAACGAACTCTTGGCTTAATTTTTAATTTTTTTGGTAAACAATTGAATCGTTATCTGTCATAGACTAATTAAGTGTCATTCGTAATAGGTGCGTTTTATGTGACACAACATGGTATTTAAAGAAATAAATTGATCGTGTCATGCTTTATATTGCGAGCGATTCGTCATTGGGATAATGCTGTTATGATAATTAGTCTTTATTCAGATAAATAGGTAGTTAGAGGACTACCAATCAATCCCATCCGTCAGTTGATTGATCAATTCTTCTATTGGTGAGTTGATTGGCCAGTCGACTGACAAATCGGTTCAACCATCGATTTATTGAGCTATTGAAAACTGTTTAAGTTATTCATTGCTTTACTGATTGGTTCAGTTGCTAGACCGATTGGTTAAATGATATTTAGCTATCAACTGCAGTATAGTACCAATTGCTTAGGAATATCATTATATAACATGCTTGAATTAACTACTACCCCACAAGAATAGAACGCAAATACAGAAATAACACCAGTTGCATTTAAAATTTACACAGAGGCACAACATTAATTGAATGTCAAGATTCTATTCACCAATCCAGTCGTACCCTAACACAAAAGGGCGAACATTTCAAAGAATACTAGAAGAAATTACATCAATTTGAATTCTTTCTAAAGTAATAACACTACTTTGGTAGCGTCTTACTATTTAAAAAAATTCCATTGATCAATCCAATCTTAGTAATGTACAAAAGGGCAAGCATTTCAAAGAATATTTTGGAAAATAACATCATTCAAATTATATGTTGAGGACACTAACTGGGTACATCATACTTATTCAAAGATTACATTCATTAATCCAATTGTAGCATTATGAGAAAAGGCTTATATTGCAAAGAATACTTTAAGAAATATCATCAACTTAGTTTCAAGTAAGGACACTAACTAGGTACTTAATACCAATGAAAAAATTCTTTTCATAAATCTTATTGCAATATTATACAAAGAGAAGGATTTGACCGTCAAATACCTCCCGTGTTCTGAAAGAAAAAAATTGTTCGTGCTCACCTCAGTAACGGGAAGTCCGTGAAATGCATTCATCTTGACACCATCAAATGTCACAGGACATTCGTGATTTTTCGAAAAGCTTTATTTCTCGTTGAGCCGTAATCCCACTTGTGGGCTTTTCTTTACTTCATTTTTAAAAAGTGCATCAATAGTTCTCCACTTCATTACTACCTCAACACCAAAGGGCAAAGAATATCAAACTAACTTCTTCCAATTTGTTGAGAGTCAAAATCTTCTAAATTGTATTATAAATTAAACAATGTAATATTATTACAACAAATTATTAGCCTATTTATGGTATGTACAATCATTTCATTTTGAATGCATTTATGTATCAATTTCTTCAATTTTAAACCATAAACAGTGCTTTAGACTCCTATTTCCTTTCTTTTTTGATTGATTAAGTCCTATTTATTTTTCCCCCTTAAGTATTAACATGACACGTTGCAATTATGTCAGATATAGATACATGTAAGTATTATCACATCACATCTGACAAACAAATGGGTGTTCCTGCTGCTCTAAGCAAGACCTGGTCGTTGATGATCCATCAGTAGCTGGTGCTGTGTCATAAAAAGTGTCGCTATTCTCGTCATTGATCGTGAAATCGCGTTGAGTGTCTTCAGTAGCTCGCAAGCAAAGACCTAGAATGTGTGTAATTATAGCAGGGAATGCAAATACTAGACACGTCAGCTAGCTGTAACAATATTCTACATTGGAGTGTCTGGATTCTTCCAGAATATACCTGCAGACTTAACGTTTGACAAAGTCTCTCACTGAGCAAGATCCTTATAGACAGAATGACCGATTCTTTCTGAGGCAGATCGAGGAATGTTTTCCGGTGGATGATCAGGCCGGAGATTTTATTTATAATGTCTCATTTTTTTGCAGACAAGTGGAATGATGATGAAACATTACATAACAACCATTGTTTATAATGGAGTAAGTGCACTTACTTTAGTCAATTCTACTAATTTTCCTATGTTTAGAACCTTCTTTTAGAGGGGGGGTTCGATCCCCTAAAACTAAGTGGAAAGAAGCCATTACAACGGTGTGATGTTTCTCAATCAATTACCTGTTACATTGGACAAAGAATGACTAATTTCACCTTATTCACAATCGGCCATATTAAATTGAAAATGCGGATAATCCTTTTTTACTTTGAGAAATTAAAAAAATTAAAATTAAATGGTAGCAATAAGATAAAAGTGTATTACAGATACGTTTCAATTACAGTGATGAATAGTTTAA